GGCTCTTTGCAGTTTTGTCTTAGAACAAACTGGGTATTAAGTGAAGCGGCTGACCCTGTACCCTCCTGGATGCCCAGTGTTGTTTTTATGCTGTTAGGTTTTAAAACAATTGCTTCAGGGTAGAGTCCTTTCACTATTTTACCTGTTTTACTTGTTTGCGTGTACTGTTTTCATTTCTCCATCTTCACTCTTAGTGTATCCTGAATGCCTTCATCAATCTCTAGGGTGGATTTTATGTTTATATTTGGTGAAAGCAAGTCTTTAGCAATAGTTGACTTGAAGTATAAAGTAAATAAAGGAATATATCTAATTTTTTAAAAAGCAGTCAGATTAACAATTTAATGTACTTTCAGAGTTCTAATTATGGGTTTATTCTTTTTTTCTGAGATGCTTTGGAAACCTTACATTTTGTTTTAGAGGGCGCAGTTATTGGTTAGAGTAGGCAATGATAATTGTGCACCCAGGAGTGTATAAATAAAAATGTAATAGATTATTTGGTAAGTGAGTCATTTTTTCTTTGTATGATTCAGTTGGTAAATATATACAAATCAAGGCATGAAATCATTTACTGGATAAGAGTGGACAAAATACCACATAATTTCATTAACCTTTAAGCAATGAAATTATAAATCCCTATGCAAATATTTAAGGTTATCATTGCCTATCACCCCTTTTGATTCCTACAGACTGTTAATTCTTCTCTGTCCTGCTGAGTCTTATTAAAACTTCTGACTGATGTAATTTTATTAAAAGGTTTAGAATTTACCAATTTAAAACACTTGCTTCACACTATCACCTCTAATTTAACTAGGCCCATTAAACACTGCATTTTGCAAAGGGACAAAGTCAATTGCTGTTTCTTTAAAAAATAATAAATTGAAATGAATTTTAAATTCTACTTAGAGGTGAGCAACTGCTGTATACTACTAGGTCTTTTGATAGCTGATTTGTTCCTTTAGTATGCAAATTTTAGGTTTATAGAGATCTAGTGCTTTTATTTAGGAAATATGCCCAGAGGCTAGATTGGTAGGCTTTAGGGAGATATCTAGTTTGGTGTGAAATAAATAGTTGTTAAAGGATTACATGAATTGGGTCCCAGAAGATGAAGAGTAGAGCTGAGACAGATTGAGGAAAACTGACTGTATTCATTTCATTTGGCTATAAATATCACTGAATTAAAAATGAAGACAATGAATGATGGCAATGCAAAGCAACTTAATGAAAATAAGCCATTTTTTGTGGGTATTCTGAAAAGTTCTATCTTCTGAGCAGTCTAAAGAAAAGAGCTATGTACACCCCTGACCAAAGAAGCTTGGTTCACATCGTTCTGGGAGGCCAGCCTTTTGAGAGATAGTAGCTTTATCAGGAAGGAATGGGTCAATTCCCCTCCCACCCCATCAAGTCAAGTCAGCAGCATCACTTCTGGTTAGGGACATGACAGATGTAGTAGAAAACCTTACATTCAAAAAAAGAGGACTCAGGTATGCTAGCTTAGATTGACAATTGTAGATATTCTGGCTTGCAAATGTTAAATAATAATAATTAAACTTTTAGCTTAGGGAAGTTTAAGAGGCCATACACTCATTTTGTAGCACTGCTCTTTTGGAATCTCTGACTTCCAAACATTTATTTTCCTTAAATAACTGAAAAATAATGAAATATATTCCTATATTGATAGTTTGTAGAATCTACTTTTTTTTTTAAACAGTGCGTATGTCTTTTTGGTGGTCTTTAAACAGTTAGGCCCTCAAGAGATAGAATATTTCAAAGCGTTAGCATTTGAAATGGCCTCTGTATGCCTATTTGTTGTATATCTCTGGTGGTGGAGGTGCAGTGGGCATGAGTGATGATGATGTGTGAAGTTGGGTTGCTAGATTCTTTCATTGAAGCTGGAGGTTTGTAACCTTATCATTAAAGTTTCAAAGAGGTGTGGTGGGTACGTGTGCCAAAGCCACAATCTGGTAGAGTGAGGAATGAGAATAGGTTCTTGCCAGCCTTAGAAATGGTGGTTTTGGTAGAGTGATGGGTAAGGAAGTTATGGTAATTCAAGCATTGAATGGAGGTTCAATTAAAGACAACGAGCTTATATTATTATTTTATGAAGCTTCACAGGGATAGTTGACAGGGTTGGAAGAACTGTGATATTGATGAAGAAGAAGGAACCGGTGGAAAAGAAAGGGAGCAAACGGATAGTGCAAGTTCTTCGAAACGTAATAAAAGCATAAATGAATAGGACTCATTGTATAGGTAGAGGGATTAGTAATGGAAAGGAGAGTCAACCATGAGATAGGAAAGTGTTACAAGACAGGAGAATTTGCATATGTAGAGTGTGGGTTCTTAGTTGTGGGATTTTTAGTTGCAGGCAACAGCTAGTTTGAGATGCCTACAGAGATGTATCACATGCTACTTAATTTGCAGAAGTGCCAAGGAACCAAAGTTGACTTTGAATAGCTAGGAACAGCTCAAGCCATGAGAAACATACCATGATACTATTCTAGTAGAAACTCCACTGCCATTTGCTACTTAGAATCTATAAGATTAGACATCATTTAGTAGCATATCTACATAGTTGTTTCAGAAGAACAAAATACCTTCACTACAAGATTGGAACTCATTTGTAGTTGGCTACTTTCTTGATTTTCTCACTTCTTTCTAAACCTTGAATAGATTTGGTTGAACCTAGGTCTCCTGTGGAAAGCATGATGTAAGAACATCTGGGAAATGTTTTTGAGCTTTGTGAATACAGGAAGTTAGAGTGCATGTTAGAAAGGGATTGGAGTGCAGGCTAGGTAATTCTGGCTCTTGGTCTTTCATGAGCTGCAATCAAGATGTCACCCAGAGTGACAGTCATTTGAAAGTTCGACTATCCTGGAGGATCTGCTTAGAAAATGGCTCTCTCACATGGCTGTTAAGTTGATTCTGGCTATTTGGCAAGATGCCTTGTGTACCTTTCCCTAGGACTGCTTGAGTATCCTCACAATGTGGCATCTGGTAGCTGGCTTCCCTCAGGAAGATCCAAAAGAGTAAGGAAGAAGCTGTAATATCTTTTAAGACAGAAACTATTACTTCTGCTGCATCCTCTTGATCACTCAGGCCAACCCTGATATGAGTGAAGGGATTACACAAAGGCATGAATTCCTTAAGGTGAGGATTACTGGGGGCTCTCTTGGAGGCTGGCTACCTTGTATCCTCTTCTCCCCTTTCTTTGATAGTACATGTTGATCAGATTTGTCTGTAGAAGCAAAAAATGAAATTCTTTTAATAGAATAGAACTTGACAAGAATTTGGATACAAAGTGGTTCTTTGTATTAAGGGTACACAGTGTGCAGTATTGTCAGCCAGTTTTTAAAGAGATACAGAAACACCATTCATTTATTGTTCTCAGATTTAGTCTAAAAGCAGAACTTGTGTCATAACATTACCACTCAATCTAGGTGTGTGTATTTTGAAGTGCAGAGATAATGATGTAGTGATACTGTCTTTTAGAATAGCCATTCTGTCTTCATCTCTGAAATTCACAGGTCTGGCTAGCTGTCCCTAACGCCATTTCCTGGTCTCAACTCTGTAAGACTCTTAGAGACTCTGAGAATGGGAGTGAAGATTTCTGTGACATGCTGGGTGGGTATAGACTGCTCTCTCATGCCTTGGTCACATCTTCTTGTTTATTTTTTCGTGTTATATATTACAAATTGAAATGATACTGCTGATATACTTGTCACCCTGCATCCTTCTCCCATTCGCCAAAGTGAAGCTCCAGCAGAGTAGGGCTTTGTCGACCTGTTCACTACTGAGTCCTCAGCACTGAGTGCAGTGTGTGGTAGATGCCCAGAAGGTGATTGTCTAAATACATTATGTTTTGAGAGAATATATGGTTATTATTTCAAACAGTCTACCTCAAAAGGTAATTTTTCCCTTCTTCTACTTAATTTCTGTCTTTTCAGCCTTTCTCTTATCCACCTCCCCTTCTTTTTTTTTTTTTTGGTGATACCTCAGTTCAGGATGTTCTCTGTGGCTGTGAGTGCTTTCCCATCTTGTTCACAGTTGGTACCTGAAAGGTTCTCCAACCTTGTTTCTTTCTGATGTAGCCTATTCTGACTCTGGGATTACTATTTAAAGTAACTCTTTTAAAAGAGATATTTGGCTAATCCTGTAATATTTTGTTATGTAAACTCTTTGGGAGCCACATTTCCTATTAATTTGATCACACCTTGTTTTTTGCTTGTCATAAATGGACCTTTTTGGATAAGTCACTGTGTGAGTTCTGACCCTGTCAGAATTGATATTCCTAGAAATCCTGACTTTAATATACACAGAATAGGAAAAGTCATGATAGGCACCCTTGGGTATATATGGTAACATCTTAGTTCTCTTCAAGACTGAACATGGCTTACAGGGATCCCAGGGCTGTATGAGTTAAGTAACAGTTTAAATCTGATGTATGCTCTCCCAGAAAGTAGTGTTCTTAAAGTATTTACCCCAGATCTGCAAGTGTCTGTGTTTCCCTGGGGGGGATCCCCCAAACCTGGAGTGCTCATTCATATGCATTCCAACCTGCCTCTGAGATGTTAGGCAAGCCTCATCAGAGATTCTTGACAGTTTTTTGGACTATGGACCTTTTGGCAAATCTGACAAACTATTGTCCTTCTCCCAGAGATACTTATTTACATAAACCCACAAATTTTTCGTATATCATTCAGGAGTGCATAGATTCCTGCAGGCCATCCAGTGATCAAGGTTTAAGATCTCTAATCTGAATTATTATTATTATTATTGAGTTACAAGTGATTTGGGAAATCTCGGGAGAGACTGAAAATCTCTTATTAATTAAGAATAATTTTAGAATCACTCAGAAAATTTCTGCTCTTGCACATTCTTCTCCCATCTTGGAATATGCAAGAGCCAGACTAGATCATCCAGATCAGCTCTTGACTAGCTCAAGATTGAGAATTGAGGCCAAGTTTATTTTGAAGGTACTAACTATGACTTTTGTGATCTTACAGGTATATCTGCATTAGCCAGATTGGACATATGTAAAGGGACACCAGTATATCTGGATCATCAGGTAAGCAGATGGGACTTCATTTTTATATCTCCATCAATTCAGTCCTCTGGCATTATGTGGGCATTTTCTGTCATGTCTCGTTTACTGCAGTGTGGGTCAGTAAGATGACTGATATTTCTAAAGAGAAGGAAGCAGCCTTTTTTAAGTTTCACCAGATTATTTTCCTGCTGCTTAAAGTCAGATTTCTTTATTTTTATCTCATTATTATTTCATATATTTATACATCTATGGTAGATAATAATTCTCTACTTTTCTTTTTATGCATATTATTTGGAGAGTTGTAGACAGCTCTCATATTGTTCCTTGGTTGTCAGCCAAGTTATAGACATTTAACTCCTTTAATCTTTCTTTGTAATTGAGTTAGCTTGGCTGCTTTTTCCAGATTTCACCCCCATTTTATGGTACCATTAATAAACAGAAAATACAGTCTATTGCCTGGCTTCTTTTACACCTTTTTTTCTTTTTGTTTTCTGTTTTTGCCTCATATTCCTTGTTGAACTAAGCCCAGCCAGACATCTCTGGACCACTTTGGCACTACATGAATGCTTTGCCTGCAACTATCAGTGTCCCATGCAGTAATACCATCAGCAGTATGTCCTAGAGAAAAAAGAAATATAAAAGGAGAGCAGTGAGGAGCAAAATAATGCATTCTTTAATTACATGGCAGACTTATCCTTACCACCAAAAGTAAATCATTGTACCTGAGTCCTTTAACACAGCTTTTGTCATCCTAAAGTGCTGTGCATGGGCACTGATTTGAATAATAAGAGAAGCGTGAATATTGTTTGAAGTTTGCCCACTGTTCTCACTTGATTCCTTCCCCATGTTCTCACTCCCCGACTGCCTTTCTCAACACGGATCGTGACTTGTTATCAGATTCTGTGGCTGTGAACAAAACTGGGCAGGGGATCATTTTGCTGGAAATTAGATAGGCTCAGGTGGTAAATGATCCATGCCTCCATGTATAACATCTGAGGCAAGTGGTTTAGTTCTTGCTATTTCTGTAACAGCTATTGGTCTTCTTTTAACAGCTGATTCAATGGCAGTGTACAGGAGGAAACTACTAGTGGACGTTTGGTGCTATTTATCAATATTGTATTAGTTGCACAACTTTTCCCCCCTCTTATTGGCAGGGAGAAGCATACTGCTTCTAGATGATTCTGAGCTTAGCGAACAGTATGCCAGCATGGGATCTGAGCTTGCCACAGTTCTTACTTTCTTTTCATTTGGTTTGTAGAAAATGGAGCTCTACCTTTACTCATCTTGTGCATTAGAAAGGAAAAAAGGTCATACATCTAGGAAATAATGGCTTGTTGGTATCTTTTAGTCACCATATTCGTATAGTACATATAGTTGAAGGTTGCAGCAGCACTCACTCGGCTTTCTTATTTGTGTTAGCTTCACTTCTAGTACAGAATTGAATAGGATCGAAGAGACGGTTTTCCTGTTTGTGTCTGTGGCAACTTGTTCGATGATTTGTGGTTTAATTCTTTAAACATTTTTGATCACTTATCATCTCTTTCTCTGTGAAGGCTTAAAGTATTCAGATTCTAATGTTATAATCTTTTCATCAGATTATTTGATTTTGGAGAAATCAAGGTCAGAGTAGCAGCTGACATAGTTGTCTCTGAAAAGTGACCTAAAAATAATAATACTTATTTTTTTTTGGCCTGGATTTTATGGTCTGCCTTCGTGGCATCAGATTTTTAAATAAGATTATGTGATTGTGAATCATGTATTTCTTGGTCTCTGGCCTCTTAAACAGGTAACTATATGACTTGGACCCCTTTTAAGTGTGCTTTTAAAAAATGTTAATCTTTCACATGGTTTTTAAACTGTTGACAGTATTGTACTTGATGTTAATTTTGGTAGGCAGTTAATGCATTCTTCGGCATAACTTTGTTTCTTGGGTCTTTTCAAGACCTGTCAGAGAAAACAAAATGCTAACCTGACTTTAAAGGGGCAAGAAAATCCCCCCTAAACTATATTATTCTTTGTTCTCTATGTGCATCAAAGTGACAATCCCACACTGTCTCAATTGAGGGAGTCTAGCACAAAAATGAAAAACAGCCTGGCACTGTTATAGGCTTGCAGCCAAAATGTTTTGTGTAGCTTGGTTCTGGCAGTGGTTTTTGTAAGGCAGAGGGTCTACCCTCACAGCATCACCGAAGGAAGGCAGGCAGCCTTAGTTTTTCCTACTTACACCTTTTACCACCTCCCCCTTCTCTTCCTCTTTCTTCACACAGGCCACCATTGTGAAAAGAAATATTTTTTTCTGAAATAGAAATATCATTCTTTTTACAACTTCCTCATTTAGTAAATGGCTTTGTTCCTTATAGAAGTTGGTGCTATATTTGCATTTTCCACTCTCTTAGATATTTTCTTTACAGTTGTATCCTTGCTGTTATTGCTAACTTTGGTCATGTTGACACAGTATTTTTGATTGGTTGGGATCTTGTCTGCTTCAGAATTTATTATTTGAATGGAAACTTTTGAGTAATATTTGCCTGTATTATATGGATTTTTATGCCAAGGTATCTCTTGTTGAGACCAAATGTCTGCCATTGTTTTCTGTTTTCATCTAAAATTCAGGGTCAGTTCATATCTTTTACAAATTGAATACTCATTTTTAGAATGTCTGATAAGTCTTGTTTCTTGAAAAGACCCAAAACAAAGTTATGCCAAAGAATGCATTAAAATAATGCATCTTACATTAAAATGAAGGATGTGCATTTAAAATATTTTTCCTTTGAAACAAAAAATGCAAGGTAAAACTCAGAAATGTTTTTAAGTTTACCAGTTCTCACTAAATTATAATTAGTGACCCACTGTTAGGAGCGTGAAAATGTGGCATAACGAGTTTTAAATAGAGATGATTTGAGCAGGAGACTAGATTTTCACTATGAGCAAGCATTCTATGAAATTTCGTAGAATGTTCTTCACAATGTAAGTGTGTTTTCTATTGTATTAAGCAAAACAAATGATTTACTTTTGAGGGATCTATTGTTAAAATTAGATTTTTAGAGTGGTCTATCTTAAAAATTAGTTTTGCAATCAAAATAAGAATAGTTAATAGGCAGAATATGTTTTTATAGGAGGAGATTGATATTATTTTGACTGATCTTTATTTTAAAAATTGCCAATGATTTTTGATATGGGGAGAAAGCCAGATATGGGTGATGGGGAGGAAGGCAGCAAACCACATTGCCATGTATATACCTATGCAACAATCTTGCATGTTCTTCACATGTACCCCAAAACCTAAAACACAATTTTGTGTGTATGTGTGTGTGTGTGTGTGTATATATATATAAGAAAATTACTTTGAAAAGAAAAACTCATGTATTTTTGTAGCAGTGTAACAAATGTGACTAAAAAGGAAGTAAACAGTGGTTCATGTTAGAATTATTAATGTGAAACACTTTTATATGCCATATATACTGGGAAATATATATATTATGGGTACTTTAAGTTAAAATTGTGCAATCTAACAGTTGGTGTTTTTTGGAGATTTATTTTTAATTTCGAAAATTCTTTAAAATTATTAAAAGAATTTGTAAAACAGAGGTGTATCTGAAGTATGCAGTAAATAAACTCACCTATTATTTTCTCTCATTCAGAACAGGCTCAGCAACATATTGGTTCAATACTTTAGCAAATCAAACAAATACTCAAATGGCTTTGTATGCATAATGCACGTGTAATAAATGCTACAGTTCCCCATTGCTCCCAAAGCTGTCTTTCTAAACTTGCAAAGTGACTTTTTTTTCCTCTTTCCTGCAGAGCTACTAAATGAATTTGGGTGGGATGCCTATTAAGTTATATGAATTAAATCTTTAGGTCAACATTTGAAACTTCTGAATTCTGACAGTTTTGAGAAAGAATGCCAGGGAAACTTTTTTTCACTTGATCACGACTGTCTGTCTTGAATCCCCTGTGCTAAGGTCTGATAATATTAAGATTAGTGAGTAAAGATAGCACACACACAAACCTCTTTTATTCTGTGTATATTGAATAATATTTATTGCATATTAAGCACTATTCAGTGACTTTAAATATGCTTTCTTCAGTAGTTTAATTTTTATTTGCAGTGAAATCCTTTATTTTTCTGTGATAAGAATATATCTTTCAGTGATTTAGGAAATGCTACGTGAATTGTCCTATTTATTTATTTATTTATTTATTCTCTCTACACACAGAGGCATAGGAGAAATTTTAAGAGCCATAATGTTTGAGCAATTTTTTGATAAATACGGTTGAATTTTTCATTTTTGTAGAATAGAATTTATGGACAATAGATTCTGTAGTTTTAATTAAGAACACATACCAAACCTATTATATCTTCATGGTTTGACATTATATAGTTTTCAGGAATATAATGTAGTAACTTAATGATTATATTTGTAGAAATTAAGAGATAACAGCAAAATTGAGTACTGTTTTTTATTTTAACTAGGATTTTATTATATCAAGTACCAAGTTTATAATTATAACTAGTACTTTATTTCATTTGAATGTCAATATAGCTTTCAAACATAACAATGTCTTGTTTGATATTAAATATTGGTAATGTAATAACAAATAGTGATTTTTTTTATTTTTTGAGATGGAGTTTCGCTTTTGTTACCCAGGCTGGAGTGCAATGGCGCGACCTCGGCTCACCGCAACCTCCACCTCCTGGGTTCAGGCAATTCTCCTGCCTCAGCCTCCTGAGTAGCTGGGATTACAGGCACATGCCACCGTGCCCAGCTAATTTTTTTTGCATTTTTAGTAGAGATGGGGTTTCACCATGTTGACCAGGATGGTCTCGATCTCTTGACCTCGTGATCCACACGCCTCGGCCTCCCAAAGTCCTGGGATTACAGGCCTGAGCCACTGCTCCCGGCCACAAATAGTGATTTTTAAGTTTATGTGGTCAAAATATGAGTAATCTTCCCTTAAACATAATGGTACATATTTTAATGTCAAAATTCAATAGATAGTATTGGATAAGAGTACAT